GAATGTAGGCATGCTTTGCAATGGCAAAGAGAAACCTGCATGGTCAAACCATGCGGCAGGAAGTTTCTCACCGTTCGCTGAAAATCAGCATCAAGCAGCTTGGCTCGCTTGACGGCCCACAGTGTGGTGCCATCGCGCGGAGACACGCCCTTGTACACGTCACCAAAGGAGCCCGACCTCAGCTGGTTGTCACTCGCCCAGTTGCTGGTGGCTGTGAGCACTTCCTCCAAAGAGTACTCCGTGCAGTGAGCGGCCGCCACGCTCCCTGCCAGACCTGCTCATTCATGGGATGAGGCCCGAGGGATATAGCAATAGAGCACTTTCACAGGTTTCAGTCTCACAGCTTTGCGTATGGAGTGTCGGGAAGTTGAACCACTGCTTGGAAAATGCATCTGCTTAGTGTAACATGACCTTTTCTATCTCTAATTCTTACACGTTTCTCTGCCCTGATCAGCACACGGTAAGGAAGGAATGGGGGGAGTGCAAGGGAGGGTTCCTGGACTTCTGTATCGTACCTTTTGGTTTCATTTGCACTTCGACATCAATCCCGTTGTTGTGTACTGCAGCTGCTCCTCGTGCTGCCTCTTTCGTGTAACCCCTCCAGCATAGCAGCGCGGCAATCAGCAGCAGCATCAGCAGCAGCAGCGAGGCCACAGCAGCCACGGAAATACCAGCAATGGCTGCTGCTGAGAGTCCGCCAGACAGGGAGGTGGAAGCTGCAGGCGGGGGGGTGCATTGTATGAACGCACGTGGTATGGTAGAATTAGGAAGCTGCCTCTCCCGTCAACATCTTGACCCCCATGCACTGAGGCTTAGTGGACACACCTTTCGACAGTCCAGCAGGATTGGCCCTGCAGGCAGGTGGATGGAAGGGCGGGACGTGGAAAGATATCGGGACCTGGATCGCACATCCCACTGCCTTCAAGGCAGGCATGCACACTACAATGGTGGTGGTACAGGGGGGGTCAGAAAGTCAAGATTACTAGGTTTTGTTTCTTCGTCAACACAACATTGCCGAGTTGTGTCCTTAGAGAGACCAACTAAAACACTTAAGACCTAAGTTCGGCCGCTCGTACAGCAGACCTAGGACCATGTGAACGGATTTCCATGGCACATTCACTATCTTCCACCTTTACAACCCCCGCTCGTCCTTATACTGCCACGAGGGCGTATGCAGTTCAACTACAAAGTGCAATGGTGTAGTTTCCACTAACAAGGTCACATGCAAATAAGTAATTATTACTGGAGGAGAGAGAGAGAGAGAGAGAGAGAGAGAGAGAGAGAGAGAGAGAGAGAGAGAGAGAGAGAGAGAGAGAGAGAGAGAGAGAGAGAGAGAGAGAGAGAGAGAGAGAGAGAGAGAGAGAGAGAGAGAGAGAGAGAGGAGGAGAGAGAGAGAGAGAGATTTTTTTCAGACTATTTATTACCACTTGTCACAGATTTCCATGAGACAATTCAGTGCAATTTAGGGTCAGCGGGACAGCAGCTTTTTGCGAATGTTGTTGGGTGTGAGTGTAAACTACACGGTAGCAAATTTGATTCAAAACGGCAACTGCGGCGCTAGTAGCGCTAAGGCACGCGTCGATTACACACCCTGGGAAGTTGCTAGGGGGGCGCAGTCTTCTCGTCGTGAGACTGCGACACACAGGATCAGCACGCCGAGCTGAAGGGCCATTGCATCGAAATGATAATCCGTCGCGGCGATCATCCAAGTCACTTGTACTGAAGTGCAAACGTATCTTTTCAAGAGTGAGCTCGAAACTAGGAGTCACCATAGTATGGCTGTAACTAGAAACTCTGCGGTACATATGCTAGTAATGGGAGTGAGCAGGTGTGCGCCTGCCAGGATGAATGTGTCTGAACTGTTCTGAAGCACAAGGGGTTTCTCACAGGGGTCACGACAATGATAGGAGTCCGAGGAATCCAATTCGAAATGTACAGGAGGGTGCTCATAAGGACGTGGGTCCAATCGAGTTGATCGCGACTGATCGGATCGGTTCGGATCTGATCGGGTTGCTTGTGATCGCATTGTCCGAGCCGCCCGATCAGATATGTTTCTCGAAGAAGAATCTCAGCGCCTGCTCAGCAAGCGCGCTTCAATAACCTGGCATTTTCGTCCCAATTCTAGCGAGACTGACGACCAGATGTCACCTCGCGAAATCTTTGTTTCCCTGTAATATCGTAAAACACCCTCCGCACGTGTCCATGCTGGACGTTACCAGCGAGGAGTTAACGAGACTCGGTACAACAGTGTAACAATGCGCAAGGGTCGCTGCAGTCCCCGATCACATGCAATCAAGTGATTGCCTGTGATCGAGGAAAATCGTGTTTAATTGGGTGAAGATCAGCTTTGATCGAGTCCGGGCGTTCAGTTGATCGCGATCATCTGATTGCCCCCGATTGCGTGAAATGGCTTCCAGGCTTCCTGAAAGTTACACAAACTTCTAATCGAGGCGAACAAACTCATTTGAACCCACGTCCTGAAATGCCCAGCCTCCTCAGCCTTGGACACAATCAACTCGACCGAACCTACTTTCGGTTATGGGCGATGGCCCAAAAAAGCCACGCGGAGAGCACTGTGACGTGACAACACTTTGCCACTGTGCTTTGTGATCTTGCAAATGACTACGCAAACGGTAGTAGGAAAATGCCAAGAAAACCAGCGTTGTCTAGGACAGGTGCACATCGGCCCGACCTGAGTGAGATCGCGTCAGATTGGGGCATCGACCATTTCTAAGAAGCCGTAGGGGTATTTTGAGGCAATCGCATGCAATCGGGGGCAATCTGTCGATTGCAATCGGCAATCCGATAGATCGCGATCGATCGCCATGATCTGACGCAATCTCTTGCGATTGATTGCAATCGACAGATTGCCTCAGATCGCGGGGCTTGGCGACAGTTGCGAACATAACTTCCTCTGACGAAGTTCGACACATCTCGCAGCACCATCGGATTTCGCGATATTGCAGCATGGAAGATTCGGGAACCCAAAAAGGGGATGCACTGTAATTGCCCGATACAGATTGTTCGCCTGGTTTCGCCTGGTTTTGCAAGGAAGGGACGTGGGAACAGCCTAGAGCCCGCGCGGCTGATTCTCACTTACTTCCCCGAAATTCATCGTTTGAACGCGCGGCTCGGGACGCAATCAACAGATTGCCTCAGATTGGGGCAATCCCACCCAAACCGATCCGACCTGACCCGATCGCCCAATCTGATGCAATCGATCGCCCGATCTGCACCACGTCCTTACAGTACAAGCCATTTTGCACTGAACACCGTTTGTTTTACTGTACATATGTTGCCCGAAAATCAACTGGGGTTTTCATTGGAAAAAGGGCACGGTGGCTGCCGGCTCACGTGAGCAGTACACCTAGCCCGCGCCAAATTCACTATGGCCAATTTTAACCCCTGTGTAATTATTTTTAAATTACCCGATATTAAAGGTTTGTTCCGAATGCTTTCGTTTGAATGAGGGTACGTTTCAGACGTCTCAGACGAGTTATGGACGAAAACGGGTCGCGATACACTATGGTCGATTAGCTCCGGTATTTGCGCGGGAGTTTAATTAAAATCTCGACACTTGACTGAGTTTTGTATAGTCCTCAATTTCGGGGAGTTCATTGGGAAAGCCAACATCGGGTTCAGGGTGCTTTCCGAAACAAGTTGCAGGGCGTGAAATTGGCGAGGGCTAGGTGTAACCCCCTAAAAAGACTTTTTGTTTGTGGTAGAACTCGAACTCCTCTTCACGCATTCAGCAAGCTGCAGCAAGGTCCCCCCCCCCCCCATCTCTTTCCATCTCCTAACGCTGCCACGAAAACGCACGCTGACTTCAACTTTGCACCACCGCTGTGTGGCAGAGATGTAGATATACATCAAGAACTAGACATCGAGTCGCGCCAAAAACGCACGGATCCTGCCTAAGCCGTGTTAAAAAAAACTACCCCCCCATTTGCCGGATGGGCTCCCTAAACTACCCGGATGTTAAGGATTGGCAGGAACAACTACCCTGCAGATATCTGCCCAGGGCTGGAGAAACCCCCATATCAGCTTCGCCAACGCCAGGAACCTGGTGTACAGTGTACACGTGCTTATATAGCCAATCCGAGGGGAGCCGGCTGGGTTTGGCAACACTTTCGTCATGATGACATCGTCACGTCAAGACAGCATAATCATCACCTTTTCGTTATAAGCATATTGCACAAGTAACACTTATTTTTCCTCATCGGGGTAGGCCAAACTGAAGGACACAGAGTGATACTTCATTCATCCAGAGCTGTCACATCATACATTTTAATTTCTTATCCTTACACCTCGGTGCACTAAAGGTCGAGCACCCACTTCTTCGCATCCCATATTTTCGACAAATATATCATGACTGTAAAAATAGAAAAAATGGTGTCTGCCCTGATGCTGCTTCTATCGCGTTATTGGATGCAAAACCCCTATGAAAACCACTACCGTAGTTCGTACAGCCCTGCATCACTCCACAAGGGGGTATCCCTCTCCCTTCCATGCCTTGAGTCCACCTTCCAAGCTGACCACCTTTGTGAAGCCCTGCAAATTTGTATCGAGGGATGAGATCATGGAATGAGACGAAATGGTGCTAAGTGCGAGACGACTACATTTGAGGCGCCTAAAAGAGTCACCCTCCAAGCTGACCACCTTGATGAAGCCCTGCATTGGCATGGAGGGATGGGATCATGGGATGGGATGGAATGGTACTAAGTGCAGAAGGCAGACTGTGCATGAGCCTGTGCACGAGGCTATACATGAGCCTGTGCACGAGGCTATACATGAGCCTGTGCACGAGGCTATACATGAGGCTATACATGAGCCTGTGCATGAGGCTATGCATGAGGGTATGCATGAGGCTATGCACAATTAGAGAAGCCGCAAGATCAAAAGAGGTCACAAGAAGCTATCCAATGTGAGTCTCCGCTCCCCACACTCCCACACCATTCTAGGCGCATTCTTTCCTCACGCACGTATTGCCCCCGCGCCACATGTCATACAGCCAAACACAACATTGGCCTTGCCCCGTGCTCCATGCCATTCGGACCCCCATCTCAATACAGGCCTGCACCACGTGTGTTTCTTCAACAGCACCACTCGTGTTGGCCTGCACCACATGTGTTGCTTTAACAGCAGCACTCGTGTCCCACAGCGTACAACACCGTCTCGGCCCTCATGCCCCCCTCACCTTCACCCTCCCCCTTCCGCTCCCCATCACCCATCCCCATCCCCGTCCCCCTCCCCCTCCCCATCACCCATCACCGTCCCCGTCCCCGTCCCCCTCCCCCTCCCCATCCCCATCCCCATCCCCATCCCCATCCCCATCCCCATCCCCATCCCCATCCCCATCCCCATCCCCATCCCCATCCCCATCCCCATCCCCATCCCCATCCCCATCCCCATCCGTATGCCCACGCCCATGCCCATCCCCATCCCCATCCCCATCCCATGCCTTACCGCTTCCACCAGGTCTGCTGCTGCAACCGCAGCCCTCCGCCCTGCCCCGCATGACTGCACGGCCACGAGATGGAGAGGAGGAGCAGGTGGCGAGAGGAGGGCCAATCGAACGGAAACAATACAGAAAATTATGGGACAGGCGAGACACTAACGACACGTGATAAAAGTAGCGTTTTGAGACGTCTCAAAACACTACTTTTATCAATACAGAAAATGATGGGACAGGCGAGACACTAACGACACGAGCGAGACAAGGCTCGATAAGAGGAGATAGTCCAACATGCGGATGGGATTGACAGTCAGAAGGTGAATGCGAGGAAAGAGAGTGAAGGGGCCAGCAGAATGAAAAGAGAGCAGCAGACGGAGACACGTGCAAAGGGAGAGAGGTGCAGAGGGAGAGAGGTGCAGAGGGAGAGAGGTGCAGAGGGAGAGAGGTGCAGAGGGAGAGAGGTGCAGAGGGAGAGAGGTGCAGAGGCAGCAGGTAGAGCGATGGGCGCACCACGACGAGGGGCGTGTCGGGCTGAAACTTGCTCCTCACGACGTCCAGAAAGTCGCTGCGCTTCTCACTGGCGCCTGGCGTGGTGAGGGGTGATGGGGTGATGGGGTGATGGGGTGATGGGGTGATGGGGTGAGGGACGCACGGCACGGCACAAACACACGGACGAGTGGGAGCGAGCAGGTGGCAACAGCACATGGAATAGTGTGGGGGAGCACGTGACGGGGTGAGCCACATGAAAGCGCATAGCTTGCAAGTGTGCACGGAAGTGTGTGTGCCTGGAAAAGGATGCGGTCAGATTTGCATGTGCAATGTTAGTTGAGTCCAATGCATGCCGCGTGAATTCATGAACGTATGCACGTGCGCATGTGTGCATGTGTACACGCGCACACGTATGCGCGTGTGTGTGTGCGTGTGTGTGCATGTATGCATGTATTCATGTGCGTATGTGAACGTGTGCGCGTGTGTGCGCGTGCGCGCATGGGTGCATGTACGCAACGCATGTGTACACGTATGCAAGTGTGCATGTGAGCAAGTGTGCATTCAAGCAAGTGTGCATGTGAGCAAGTGTGCATGTGAGCAAGTGTGCATGTGAGCAAGTGTGCATGTGAGTAAGTGTGCATGTGAGTAAGTGTGTATGTATGCACGTATGCATGTATGTACGTATGCATGTGTGCATGTCCGCATTTGTGCATGTGTGCATGTACGCATGTGTGCATGTGTGCATGTGTGCATGTACGCATGTGTGCATGTGTGCATGTACGCATGTGTGCATGTGTGCATGTACGCATGTGTGCATGTGTGCATGTACGCATGTGTGCATGTGTGCATGTACGCATGTGTGCATGTGTGCATGTACGCATGTGTGCATGTGTGCATGTACGCATGTGTGCATGTGTGCATGTACGGTGCACGCAGCGTCCGCATCACCTTTATGGGGATCGCCAGTCATCACTGCGACGTTCACAGCACCTTCCGCGTGGCTCTCGGCAAATTCCTCCTCCGTCCTGCCATGTCACCAAAGTGGAACGGCGGGATGTAAAAAATGGATTGAGAACGAAAGTGCAATTTCCGGCGTCAGGTGTGTGGGATTTGCGAACGAAAGCGCAATTTCGACCTAAGCAGCGGTGCGAACGAGACTCGGAATCAAAATGGCAGAAATAAAGCTAAGTGAGCGGAGGGGCGGCAGACGAAGGAGCCTTTGAACGAGAAGGCACGCGCCGCGTAACTGGTAACTAGCACATTAAAGAACTGCGTCGCTCATCGCCAACCCATTGCTAACAAATCGGTATGACGGAATCGAGAGAAATCGCGGAAGGTGGGAAGAGCGCCCAGACAGCGATGATGAGGAGGGCGCGCCGCGAACTACTACGATGTGGCCGCGGCGGAACGGATGGAGCCGGAAACGGCGGAAAGGGCGGAAAGGGCGGGAAGGGCGGGAAGGGCGGAAAGGGCGGGAGAAGCAACCTGACGTCGAGGAAGGTGTGGGACGTCTCGAGGAGCGCCTTGGCCTCGCGTGGCGGCACGGTGGCGAATTCTGCCATGGATGCGACGACGCGTCGCAGCGGAACGGAGGCAACTGCTCGGGTGAAAGCTGGCGGCGCTCGCTGCTATGCAGCTAGCTCGCTGCACGCGCAAGTAAGGAGGCAAGAGCGTGCTTGCTGCTGCCCTAATATCGCCGTCACGTGTGTATCGGCGAGAAGAATGGAGAGAACTGCGGTCGAAAGCGGCGTTGTCGTAATAATAGATCCATGAATGGCACGGTAATGAGTTTCCCAAGGGCGAGTGGGCGGAGAAGGTAGGAGATGGAGGGAGGGGAGAATGCTGCTCTGCTTTCGGCTCAATGGAAGGATGATCCAAGATTACTGGAGGCAGAACAACTCCCTCCGCCAAATGCGGTGAATCTGGTGAGGTTGCTGTTATCTCGATATTGAAAGTTGCGTTACGAGGCCTGATATCATGCTGAATGAGGAGCTAACATAATCAGTTACGACTGCGGATGTATGCATTTTATGGTGTATTACGCTGAACGTGTTACGCTGTGCTCGCAGATGATTGGCGTGCTGTGCCTCGTCACCTGCACAGCGCACACACCAAGTCAACCTGGCGCTGACAACTGCATCTGATCAGCCACGTCGACCTCGGGATACCACCACCGAGGTCGGACTCGCCAACTTCGCCTGGGCGACCGTCGCACTCCTCCGCAGAACCTCGTCACCCAGGTAACCTGGTCGACCGGGCAACCACGTCGACCAGCTGCTCCTGTATGTTTGGTCGACCACCAGGTCGACTTCTCGCCTGGTCGACCAACCACCAAGTCGACCAGAAGGCCTGGTCGACCAACCAAGTCGACCAGAAGGCCTGGTCGACGTACCAGGTCGACCAGAAGGCCTGGTCGACGTACCAGGTCGACCAGAAGGCCTGGTCGACGTACCAGGTCGACCAGAAGGCCTGGTCGACATACCAAGTCGACCAGAAGGCCTGGTCGACGTACCAGGTCGACCAACCAAGTCGACCAGAAGGCCTGGTCGACGTACCAGGTCGACCAGAAGGCCTGGTCGACGTACCAGGTCGACCAGAAGGCCTGGTCGACGTACCAGGTCGACCAGAAGGCCTGGTCGACCAACCAAGTCGACCAGAAGGCCTGGTCGACGTACCAGGTCGACCAGAAGGCCTGGTCGACCAACCAAGTCGACCAGAAGGCCTGGTCGACGTACCAGGTCGACCAGAAGGCCTGGTCGACCAACCAAGTCGACCAGAAGGCCTGGTCGACGTACCAGGTCGACCAGAAGGCCTGGTCGACCTACCAAGTCGGACTATGGACTTGTGAGAGCGGAGGAGGGCACCACCGTGGGCACCACTTGAGTGATGGGCACACCGGGCCATGTGGATCCCATCTACTCACGCACCTCCAAGGCAATTCGGGCCACCGATGTCTATAGATGAGCTTGCATTCACCACTACTGTTCTAGAGGCTGATCTTAGAGACGTCTGAAATTGTGGTTGAATCTTGGGTGCAAATTCTTTCGCTGCCGCTTATTGATAGTGTGCTTTTTGTATCATATTGTATTTTGGTGACGATGCAATTATCGAATCACACATGCACCCTATTCGTGTGTGTGTGTGTGATACACCACCCGAACTATCAACATCCTGCCCTTGATGCAGCTTTAGCGTGCCCATGTGTATGGTCTTCTCTGGCCGAAGCTTCAACACCTGCTCTATACAAAAACTGAACAGTGAGAAACTTTATCGTTCATATCGTTGTGTTATTCCCCTACTCCCTCTTGCCTTGCCCCCTTCCTTCTGTGTGTGCAGCTTTTGGTGTGCTCATGTTTGTGGTGCTCACCGGCCGCACACCCCCACCTCCCATGCACTCCTTTGCTGTGCCCTCCTCTTGCCCTGCCCCTGCCTCTTCTTACCCTATCCGACACTCCATATTTCGAGCGCATTGAAGTTTCAAAATTGAGTGTATTGCGAATGCATGGGAGTGTATCGTACAAGCTGATACGATGCACATTATGCGTATTTTCCAACATAGCACTGCGCTTGTCACAGACTCTAGCACGGTTCAACAGACTCATCAAAAGCCAGTTCCTCACTAAATAGCACACAGTCAAAATTCAATCTCTGTACGTCTCAAGCTGAACCCGTCATGCCTTCCCACCTCGTTCAAACAATCTGGTGGAGGAGTGTGTTACCCCCAACAACCCAGCCCGCCTCAAGGACCTGGGTATGGACGCCCTGAATGATGCTGTGCTGCGCCTCGCCCAGCTGGCTCTCAGCTGCACTGTGGAGCGCACTGCCAGCCGGCCCAGTATGGCAGGCATTGCCAATGAGCTGCAGAACATCCGGAATGAGGTGGTGGGGAGGAAGGAGCTGGCTGCAGCAGTAAAAGTGGACGAGCAAGCCCAAGGGGTTAAGGGCTCATCAGCATATGAGGATTCTCACCTGCAATGCATTGACAAACTCGTGCAAGGAAGCTCTTTTGAAGACCAATCATCTGCGTGACTGAATCTTCATGTATACGCTTTGAACATTATGCACCCTTGTCACTAGTGGGGCAAATGTCGTGTATGAGTGGTCTAAAGAAGGTGTCGGTTGAGCTCATCAGGACAGGGTTGGCAAGTTCCTGCAAGAAGCTTAGGAAGACCAAGTACACGTGGATGAAGGCATGGTATTTGAATGTGCTTGATGAGATTCAAGATCTCCTAAATATAGCAATGGTTAGCATTGTAGGTTAGCATTGTCATAGCATAGGAACCGAAGAATTCAAAGCCTGTGCTGTAATTCCAACTTTCCAAACATTCCGAAGCAAAGCTTTATCGGAGTCCAGCAAGCATGAAACACAGGGTCCCCCACTCCGGAGTCCTTATTCCATATTCCCACAGATAGAAGCGCCTGTGCGTTTTTTTATACTACAATTAATCTAAAATCCGCGGTGTGTTTTGTAAAGGTCTGCGCCAATTAAATCACAAGAAATAACTTTAAAGTCAGGTAGAACAAGACACTATGATTTCAGTCGAGTTGAGATGGTACTGAGTCGCAAATAGCATACCGGGCTAGTTGGCAAGGAACGATCCCTGCCAACACTTCTAGGCAAGCTGAGGGTGGTTTGGCAGGAAACCACCAATTGTTTGACTCTATTAACCCTGCACCTTGGAT